AAAGAGAGAGAGAGAGAGAGAGAGAGAGAGAAATCACCCCCTAGGGGGTGATGGTCACGCCACAATCCCTTGTCCTCTGTTCTCCCCTTGGGATTTTGGGCATGCACCCGTACACGCACATTTGGTATGAGTTTCAAGCCACCAGGTTTAGGACTTGAATCGCAGTTGACCATGTGAGAGTCCAGCACCTTAACCATCACACCACCTGCTGACCCCCAGTGTTATCCTTTAGTGTTTACATAGGAACCCCAAGACAGACAGACATGGAATGTCAGATGCTCACCTCCTGATAAAGGAAGAAAACACTTTAAGACTCTACAGTAGAATACAAATAGACAATTTTTTCCTTTATTAGGTACCTCCATCCTAAAAAACTGGAAAAAATGGGATGGCCGGTGGCATGGCAGTGAAGGTAGTTGAATATCACATGGCTGGGTGAGGAGTTCAAGTTCCGGGTCCAGTGGCTTGAGAAACACACCAGGGGCATGTGCCCAGAATCCTGAATGGAGGGGAAGGGTGCTTTCTCATGTACCCCACGCCCATTCCCCCATGGCCAAAAAACAAACAAGCAAAAGATCTAGAAATGATAGTGAGACATGAAAAGAAAATCTCAGGGACTTACAGTAAATGTTCTTTGATTTGAGCAGCCTTCCAGCAACAAAAGACAAAGGTTTCCTGCACACCTGTGGCAGTTAGAAATTCTAGAGTGTAGTCAATTAATGCCACATTAGCCAGAGGCAAGAGAACCTGGAGGACAGAAGATGATAAAAACTTTAAGTCCAGGGTCAGAGGGCCTTTGGGGTACCACACTGCAACCATTCATAGTCCTCTGTCCTGTTTCCAAACATTACTGTTTTGCCTTATCTTTCCCATTCAAAAAACTAGCAGGTGGCACGGTGGTTAAGGTACTGGACACTCACACATAGCTAACCACGGTTCAAGTCCTGGACCTGGTGGCTTGCTTTCTGACGCCCCCCCACCCCCCACCCCCCGGTGTATCTCTCTCTGGTCAAATTAAAATAAGTGAATCAATAAGTAAAATTAAATAAATAATTCTTAAAAAAAGAAAAAAAAAACAAAACAAAGGTAAGCAGGTTCCTGCCTTTGACGTTCATGACATCCTCTGAGCCGCATCAGGTGCGTGGAGCTGCTACAGATCAGCAGCTCACCGCTGGCAAAGATAATACTGAAAATCGATCATAACTCCAGAAACTAAACACTGCCCCCCCCTTTCCTCCTTAGGGTCAGGGGCTTGCCAGTCCTGTCACTTGTCAATAAGGAACACCCGAGGCTCTGGTTGGAGAGTCAGGGAGGATTCTTCTCGGGCTGAGCTGGGGACGGCTGAGTGACCCCGCAGCTCCCAGGGCCGGCTCAGCCCCATTCCCCATAGTCAGACGTTCAAAGGCTGACGGCAACCAGACACAAGCCCATCTGTCCCCCTCCTGACAGATGGCACCGGTGGCCACTAAACCCTGGAAGAAAATGCAGCCCCTGGCCAAGGCCTCCTAGAGCCCAGAGGGCGAGGTCCCCTCTCGCGGAGCGGGAAGAGCAGGGCGGCCTCCGGGGACCGGGGCTCGCGAGCAGGCGGCTCTCCCCGCCCCTTCCCCCGCAGCCTCGGGCCAGGCCCTCGAACGGCCCCTGCGCCTTCCTCCCAACCGGAGAAGCCGGATTTGGGGAGCAGCGTGGGCTTCCCTGGCTGGAAGGACGGCAGGCCCCGCCGCCCGGCCCTGCCCGCGTGCGCGCTCACCCGAGGCCGGTCCTTGGAGATGGGGAAGAAGCGGCGGAGCAGCGTGGGCTTCCCTGGCTGGAAGGACGGCAGGCCCCGCCGCCCGGCCCTGCCCGCGTGCGCGCTCACCCGAGGCCGGTCCTTGGAGATGGGGAAGAAGCGGCGGTCGAAGCTGTCGGCCACCAGCACTGCCTGCAGGGGCGGCGGCGGCTCCTCCTCCGTCCCTCGG